AGATCCATCACAAGACGCAATACCGCAAGTAGCAGTAAGCATCAACGCAACTATCATACGGGTGGCGCCCCCCTCACAACACACCCACATGACTCCTATCGATTTCGGTAACAAAGTTTTTATTGTTGTTATATAAAAAATATCACCAACGTATCATAGTAGCATACTACTAAGACGCCAGTGGACAAAACTCCATGTATCATAGCGCTAATGCACTAAGACATGAAGTTGAGTATGCCTGTTACACTTAAAAGTGCTACCAAACACACTCATCTTCCCAATCCGAAAGATAGACGACGCATCGCTATGCGCTACGACGCCGCCCACAACCGGTATGGGTGTGCGATGTCCACGGGAAAGCCGTATTGCTACAACAAACCCGCTTACCACCGGCACTAAGATGATATGTCTAGGACACATCGGTTAGCGAGTCCAAGTTTACCTCGGACCAATTGCTCGTGAAGCAGCACACACGCCACCATAATATTCCTTTTCAAGTCCCTAATAAGGACTAGTCATTTTGCTACAGTACTAGGAGCAGTCGGTCACCCGACCACCCCATACAATGCTTATGCATCAAGGAGACCTTCAATAATAATGCTTTTGTATCATAGACCTTACTTTCATAAGTCATTCTTATATAGGGTTCGAACCCACAACCCTACTATTGTAATGCATATTAATCATAGAGACCTTCTATAGTATTGCTTTTGTATCATAGACCTTACTTTCATAAGTCATTAATATATAGGGTTCGAACCCACGACCCTACTATTGTAATACAAATTCATCATGGAGACCTTCTATAGTATTGCTTTTGTATCATTGAGTTTAATATCATAAGTCCCTAATATAGGACTAGTCATTGTGCTACAGTACTTCAGGCAGTCGGGCTCCCGACCACCCCATATATATGTACAACTGCAGGTATGTACCTCCGACAGCTTCCTCCATACAAGACATCTATACGTGAACACCTTCCATAACTTAGGAAAATTTTCTTTAATACATGAACTCCTTCAACAACTTAAGAAATTTCATCTATACGTGAACTCCTTCCACAACTTAGAAAAATTTTCTTTTATACACGAACACCTCCCATGACTTAAACAATTTTTAACAAATTTTCTAATTATCTTATAAACGTTATTTAACTTAATTTTATAATATTTTTTGACTTGTATTTCTATTATTTATCTTATTTTAATTATTTTTTTCAAGTTTTTAAATAAATTCATTTATTACGAAAAACAATAATTTTGCCTTTAATTTACTATGTTATTGGGATAATGTCTAAAATATATTAACTTTATGTTTATTAATTTAACTTAATTGCTTAATATATATCTTTTAAGACTATTTTTGACGCCCCTTTATATTGAATTTAATTATTAATAATAATATTGGGCCGTCACACTACGTACTACTGAAATATATAGGTACCATTGTAATCGTTACATAAACATTCACGAATTAGTATCTTCAAAATTTGCCCAACGTTTTGGCGACTTTATCAAAAGACAAATTTATAATAAAGTCGTCAAACACTGTAATAATACAAATAAAAAATATGCATCAGCAAAATTAATCATAAAGAAATGGTTGGTCACCCTATCATATGAGGAAACAGAACAATTGATAAAAACTGACTTTTGCTAATAGATGGTATTTGTGAAATTTTTAGGTAAATATTGTTGTTGGTTTAATTTTATTTTCTTTTTCTTTTTAAATGTAAATACATATGTAGTTAATACTTTGCAGTTGTATAAAACTTGGCCTGGTTGTTAAAGGTTTCTTTCTTTTTTTTTGTTTTTAGATTTTGAGCATTATGCAGTTCTTTTATTGCTATTTTAAGTAGGTATATTAAGTAGGTATATTTTTGTCTGATAAGATGTATAAAATAATGCCTTGTGAACTTTGGTCAGAGATTTCCTCGATACAGGCTTGCCTAGTGAGGAAACCAACATATATTACCTTTTATACATATTTTTCTGTTAATAAAACATTTTTCATTTTCATTTTCATTTCTTTTTTCAATATAAACTTCACGTTTATCTTATTGGATGTCTCAAAGCAATTAAATGAATGTCTCTGATAAATTAATCCACAACTTCAATAGATAACAATTTATCAAACGACTCCAGCTTATGAATATTAACAAAGATAATTGTGAAACTGTTCTTAAAACTGTAATGATGTTTGAACGAAATATCGGTGTATAATGGATAGTAGTATAACTTTAATGTTACTAAGCGATTAAAATTTATTTTAGTCATTTGGCGTGTGCTAGTGGTGAAAGAAAATCCATTTTGTTACATGAAAATGTTCTGCAGATCTTGTGGCCTCCCACTTATGGGTAATAAACCATTTCGTAAACTAATGACATCCATAAAGTATGAAATATCATTATCGTCCACGATTACAGGAGAATATAAAAATGAATGAGTATTTTGTATATACTTACGGGAACATAACAATAAAACCATTTTTAAGGATTTTATCGCATTTAATTTGATTTGTGTTTATATTATGTTGAACATGTGCTAGACGTCCTTAACGTTACAGACTATCACAAGTCCACTGCTGAACTTAGGCCTCCCCCATAGATTGCTTCATAGGGATCCCCCAAATGTAGGGGAGATGGACACTCACGGGATGAAATGGAGTAATGGTAGTGGATATTCTGACACCGTCATTACATGTTTGTTTTTCCACAATTACAACGGATATACTTACTACTTGGGATTAGGGTTCTGTAATTATGTAATAAAATTAGAACATAACCCAAGCGTACCTCTGCAAGGCTTCAAGTGCATCTTCAAGCTCATGGCACACCAAGCTAACAACATATGATATCGGAATGCCAACTACTCAGTCCATCCCCGCCCCCGTAACCAGGGGTCCTTCATAGCTCTTGAAACGACAGGAGTTAAAATCAAATTAAATTAAACGCGATAAAATCCGTAAAAGTATTTCTACATAAAAATGAATGCAATCAACGATAGCTCGCATGACTGATACGTTATTCCCGTTCATATAGTTTTCTGCTAGCCGTAACGATTGTGTAAAGTGAACTTGGATAGCTCCGCAGGTGTGAAATATCCAGTGTCTGCGACTGCGATCGCCGATCACTGATCTGCCTGTGCAGCGAGCCGACTTAGAATTTAAAATCATTCCCCCGCCGATCGCCAAGAAACCATAATATTGTAAAAGCCGTTCGTTGGTGCTCTTAGTGAGTGTAGACTTAGGGCCTCCGATAGATGGCAGTACAACCATGCCGCTTACACCAGATGTACAATAACCAGACCGGCGACGGGCAGCAGCAGCAAAGATGCCCGACCTCTACTGCTGCGATCGTCAATCAGCTATCCCTACAGTGGACGAGGTTCATATCCAGCAGATATTCAGAGTTATGGATCGGAAAAATTTATCACCTACTACAAACACTACAAATCTTGTCATATTGTTTGCTGCTGACTCTTATACTTCCTAATTAAAATAAGCAATGAAAATACAAACTGATATGCAAAGTTTATTTTTAAATTTCATGTATGTTTTTTAGGTAAAAGGGTTATTAGTAGATACCGCATCCGCAACCTCCGATGGCGCGTCCAGCGAAAGCGGGACCGTAACCGAATCCGGTAGCAAGACCAGGTCCGTACCCCAACCCAGCGTTGACCGGGTAGCCCAAAGTGGATGCGGAAATGTCTTCGCTTATGATACCTACGGCACCGTTTCCGCAACCGTAAGAGACGGCACCAGCACCGGCAGTTGGAAGCACACCCTCCAGACCAACGGTGCCTAGGAAAGGCAGTTCACCAACGGCAGACAGGATTCCTGCGATCTCGTTCTCTGAGAGAACAGATACTCCAACAGGCGGGATGGGGGACGCACTGGCGACAGGGAAACCACCGCCGCTAGCAGTTGGAATGGCAGCTAGACCGCAACCAGCACCGTAACCATTCAAGCCTAAGCCTCCCCATTGGCAGCCGCAGGGAGCACCATCAATCAAGGAACCTTCGTAGGCCAGTCCGTTGCCCAAGCAGTAAGCAGTTATGGTCTGAATATAAATTAAAAAGAAAAGTTATATTTCATTAATTTCTTAAAACTACTCAAATTAAAACTAATTTTTGTTATTAAAATCCAAAGCCGCAGTTTTCAATAATTTCTTATTTTGATTTAATTTAAGGCGTTTAATAGTTAGTTGTTTTTTTCTTACCTGAACCATGAGTGCTTGAGCAAAGAAAAGAATGAATGCCTTGGTACACATATTTGTTGTGTTATTTGGAAACGAGTGTGAGCATAATTTGGGCCGATTGGGTTATATATAGCAGAACTGAAATATTTTTGAAATAATATCACGCAATTTCATGATCCCTTATACGTGACAAACACCAAGTGCCTAGTCATAATACAAAAACTATTACAAATCATAGAACTCATTAAGAGAAGATAATATTAAATTTCTACATTTCAACAAATCTAGTATATTAATGAAAATAAGTCATAACAATTTTATGAGATTTTAAATTTAAAGCCATATTTAAAATTTTTATTATTTCCTCATAGTAATTTTGCTCTACAACCTATTATTTTATATAATTTTTGTGCAATTTTATATTAATAAGACCTTCGAAATTTTAGGAGGGGTCTTTTGTCTCTTTCACTCCTTGTCAAATTAAATTGGAGCATTAATATAGTATTTGATATACGTTTTTAATTTTTGTTTATACTCATCTAGCTAAATATGCATGCGGTTGTTTTTCCACACTTTTTATTTGATAATTACCTTTTGAAATCCGAATCAAAGTTTGTCACGTTCCACAACAAGTGAAACACAGGTCAATGTCTCATCGATTTAATTCTTTTACGAAACACGTTCATATTTATTTTTAGTTACGAAATTAGTTTTAATCGTACAGGGAGTAAAGAATATATAATGCATTGTTTTTACAGGTTTGAATCACTTTGAACTTGGTACACTTGGAAAAACTTTAAACATGTCTTCTTTCGCTTTCTTTCTGCTCTGCGTTCAAGCATGCTTGATCCAGGTAAAACTCTTTATGTTAGGTAATAATTTTATATAATTGGAATTAATTAAAAAAGAACCTATTTTAATCTATGTGGTTATAATTTATATTCATGAATTAATTTTGACACTATGTTTCATAAATCGATAATTGCTACCGAAAATAATTCAACTTTCTTTTTTTTAAGTAGTTTAAAGTGTTACGGCACATTGTAAAGATGTTTATCCATTTTCAGAATGTATACAGTCAGTGTCTCGGAGCTGGACTTGGATTGGGCTATGGTCCAGGACTCACCGCTGAGTACGGATTGGGATGTGGATCTGCTTTAGCTTCTGAAATAGCTTACGGACCTGGAATCGGTCTTGGATACGGTCTCGCTGGGCCTGGCGCCCTTGGCTACCAAGCGGGTATTGCTGGTCCAGCCTACGGTGGCACAGGCATTGGTGACGTAGTGGTCGCTGGCGATATGGGTGTCGTTGGTAACACCTTAATAGGTGGTCAGGTTCCGATTCTGGGTGCTGTTAGATTCTGTGGTGAAGTTCCAGCTGGTGGTATTGTCTCCATCACCGGAAGCTGTGGCGGAAAATGTGGTTGCGGTTGCAACGGTGCTTACCTTGTATTGAAGTGAGGCAATGAAAAATAATCACAAACAAATAACAAAATAAAAATATAACAAATGTCAAATTGAAAATAATTACAAGTTATGAACTATATTGTAGATTTTTAATCCATAATGCTCTACTTTCCCTCCTGTTTTCCTGACATATTTGCTATGACTGGCAGTGAATGCGCGATGACATGGTGAGGTGGATTATCTTACACAGCCAATGCAAAGCGATTTCAAATTCAGCCTCAATATAATAAATAAATAATAATAAAATACGCAGTACGCCCCTCGAAAATCGACCGCGACTTCCCCGCTTAGCCCTAAGCAAGCGGAATCGGGCTGTCGTGAGGGCTCTGAACCCAATGCTGGTGACCTATTTGGAAGCAAGCCGGGACCTTTGTAAGACGGACTCAATTCTTTTTGGCGCCGCACTGGCAGTCTGCCGGATTATAGGCGCCAAACTATCCAAGGCTGGACGGGCTACTAGACAAAATAGTGCTATCCCAGCCTGGAGAATAAGAATTGAAGAACGTATCGCAAAAGCTAGGGTACTCATCGGCGGACTCGTATGCTTCAAGTCAGGATACAACAAGCCAAGGATTGTGCTCACCTTCAGGATGGTGTTTGCTGGGACAAATGTCAGTTTGACCCAGCCGGATCATTCTGTGACTGTCTTTAGGAGCTCATCAGAGTTCAATGAATAAATGTTTAGTTTTTTATTGACTACGTTGTATAAATAACCAGCCTGTATTTTAAATTGGTGACTATCAAAATTTATCTTGATTAGAGTTAATTCAAAAACTTTTCTTCGTCTATCACTACTTTAGCTGTTGTAGAAAGTTGTTCTCTATTTTGTTAACAATAAATTTAAAATGTGTAATGATTTCTTATATATATATATATAGATTATATATACTATAGATTTCCTACAGAAGAACTTTACTAAGTTAGTGGTTTATTGAGTGTTAGAAAGTTACACATTTTAATATAATACTAATTTTTACGGAATTTATCGCGTATATTTAACTTTTTTTTACCCGACGTTTCGAGAGCTTTACAGCACCCATGGTCACGGGAAGGACTGAGATGTTCAACGTCCAGCTGTCATAGTTAACCGCGGTTACCATAGATTAAAATTTAACTTTTGTTCCGATCTACACAGTATGAACTTATGGTATCATGGAGTCTTGCAGTTGTATGCTTGGGTTGGGATTTAATTTTATTTATTATAGGATCCCAAGCAGATGGTAGCACCCAGCCATCTTCTCTATTGAAATTAGGATGTTTTTTTGATTTCAATAGCCTCGCGAATCATCCTTGGAAGGAATCGGTGTTCTTTAGCGAGGATTTGTGGTCTATCAAATCTGATGTAGTGACGGGGGCGATCCTGTACATGTTCACAGACTGCAGACTTCCCGGAGCGTCGATTCTTCACATCAGCTATATGTTCTTTGACGCGGGTTTTAATTGATCTTTTAGTTTGTCCTATGTAGGAGAGACCACATTCACAATCAAGCTTGTACACTCCTGCATCTTGCAGAGGGACGTTACACTTGACTGATGGTAAAAACTGACCAATCTTCTTCGGCGGCTGGAAGTATGTTTTGATGGAAGCGCGCTTCAAGATGTAGCCAATCTTGTCAGTGACTCCTCTAACATATGGCAGTACAGCAGGTACACGCTCGACTGTGGCCGGCTTCACTCGTTCTCTGTGACGTAGGCGCGGGACCCGAAGCTTGTTGTCATGCAAAACTTGCTTGACATGTTGGAGCTCGGCAGCCAGGTGTTTACTGTCACAGATCCCTCGTGCTCTCTGAAACAAAGATTTACCCACGGTAGCTAACTGTGAAGGATGGTGGTGAGAATCACCGTTTAAATATCTATCTGTATGGGTCTTTTTTCTATACACAGTATGGCTCAAGGTGTTATCAGGATTCCGAATTACTAACACATCTAGAAAAGCTAAGGAATTGTTTGCCTCTAACTCCATTGTGAACTGAATTTTAGTATTTATAGAGTTAAGATTGTCTAAAAATGCAGATACTTTATCTAAAGGTAGAATTGTGAAAGTGTCGTCTACGTACCGCTTGTAGAATCTTGGATTTATGGGAGAAGTAAGCAGGGCTTTCTCCTCAAAGTCTTCCATGAAAATGTCGGTGACAATGGGAGATACAGGTGAGCCCATCGCCCATACTTGCTTGTAGAACTCCTCCTTCCACAATAGGTAGCCAGATGTAAGGCAGTGTCTGAGTAATACTGCATATTCTACGGGCATGTTGTTTTCTTCCAGCCTTCTAGTTACAATTGAGATGCAGTCTTCAACAGGTAAGCATGTAAACAATGACTGCACATCAAAACTGACCATAGTTTCATTGTCTGCCAGACGTAGGTCTTTAATCTCGCTGACAAAATGGTAGGAATCCTTTATGTGTGCTCTTGTATGTCCCCTGAGCGGTGAGAGTATTTTCGCTAAGTGTTGAGCCAATCTGTAAGTTGGTGAATCGATTTGGCTCACTATGGGGCGTAATGGAGCATTGGGCTTGTGTATTTTTGGTAACCCATACAACTTTGGTGATTTGGCGCACGTAGGTATTATCCATTTTACGTCCAGATTTAATTTTTCGGAGTGTTTCTTTATGAGGTCACTAGTTGTTTTTAGTGTGCTGTTTGTTGGGTCGTTTTTAACCTTTTTATAAGTACTTACATCCGACAATAGTTCTTGTATTTTAGAATTATAATCCGACGTATCCATGACCACCGTGGCGTTTCCCTTATCTGCGCGGAGAATCGTAAGTTCTGGTTTATTGCGTAGGTTCTTTAACGCTATAAATTCGTCTCTGGGAAGATTCGGTTTAGGCACTGAACATCGACGTAACATAGACGAAATGTCTTGACGTATCGCCTCCAAATCTTCTTTCCGCATATTGTTTTTAAATAAACAGTCCTCGACACTACAGATAATTTCTTCGTACGGTAATCTGCTTGGAGTTATAGCGTAATTTAGTCCTTTGGATAACACCTTTATTGTTGCATCATCCAGTGTTTGTTTTGACAGATTATAGAACGCGATTAATCTATGATCTGTGTTTGTCAATGGTTGCTTTTGGTTCTGGCATTGATTCGGATGTTTGACATTTGATTTGGCCGTTAATTTTTTATATTTTTTCTATATGTTTGTTTTTGCATTCGTTATATTTACTAATTTCGCGTTTATTTAATGTTTCCATGCAAAAACTATAATCAAACGTCGTTAAAACTTTCTTTAATTCACTGGATGATATGTCTATGGATTTATTTATGTCATATAGATCGGAGCGTTTTTGTTGGATTACCGCCCGTAACAACTTTTTACTTGCCTGATTTAAGATCTTAGCGTTTCCTCGAATGTCCTTTTTGGTGGATATTTTGACACACGTAGGAATGAGATTATGGTCTCGGCATCTCTTCAAGAAATTTAAGGCTGTTAGATATCTTGCGCGCTTAGTCTTTAGATCTTCTAATCGGCGTATTTTATTTGCAATTACCAGTCCGTACTGGTTTACATAATGATTTCTTATATTTACGCGAACACTACACATTGAAATAATACTAATTTTTACGGAATTTATCGCGTATATTTAACTTTTTTTACCCGACGTTTCGAGAGCTTTACAGCACCCATGGTCACGGGAAGGACTGAGATGTTCAACGTCCAGCTGTCATAGTTAACCGCGGTTACCATAGATTAAAATTTAACTTTTGTTCCGATCTACACAGTATGAACTTATGGTATCATGGAGTCTTGCAGTTGTATGCTTGGGTTGGGATTTAATTTTATTTATTATAGGATCCCAAGCAGATGGTAGCACCCAGCCATCTTCTCTATTGAAATTAGGATGTTTTTTGATTTCAATAGCCTCGCGAATCATCCTTGGAAGGAATCGGTGTTCTTTAGCGAGGATTTGTGGTCTATCAAATCTGATGTAGTGACGGGGGCGATCCTGTACATGTTCACAGACTGCAGACTTCCCGGAGCGTCGATTCTTCACATCAGCTATATGTTCTTTGACGCGGGTTTTAATTGATCTTTTAGTTTGTCCTATGTAGGAGAGACCACATTCACAATCAAGCTTGTACACTCCTGCATCTTGCAGAGGGACGTTACACTTGACTGATGGTAAAAACTGACCAATCTTCTTCGGCGGCTTGAAGTATGTTTTGATGGAAGCGCGCTTCAAGATGTAGCCAATCTTGTCAGTGACTCCTCTAACATATGGCAGTACAGCAGGTACACGCTCGACTGTGGCCGGCTTCACTCGTTCTCTGTGACGTAGGCGCGGGACCCGAAGCTTGTTGTCATGCAAAACTTGCTTGACATGTTGGAGCTCGGCAGCCAGGGGTGTTTACTGTCACAGATCCCTCGTGCTCTCTGAAACTTTAATTGATCTTTTAGTTTGTCCTACATAGGACAAACTAAAAGATCAATTAAAACCCGCGTCAAAGAACATATAGCTGATGTGAAGAATCGACGCTCCGGGAAGTCTGCAGTCTGTGAACATGTACAGGATCGCCCCCGTCACTACATCAGATTTGATAGACCACAAATCCTCGCTAAAGAACACCGATTCCTTCCAAGGATGATTCGCGAGGCTATTGAAATCAAAAAACATCCTAATTTCAATAGAGAAGATGGCTGGGTGCTACCATCTGCTTGGGATCCTATAATAAATAAAATTAAATCCCAACCCAAGCATACAACTGCAAGACTCCATGATACCATAAGTTCATACTGTGTAGATCGGAACAAAAGTTAAATTTTAATCTATGGTAACCGCGGTTAACTATGACAGCTGGACGTTGAACATCTCAGTCCTTCCCGTGACCATGGGTGCTGTAAAGCTCTCGAAACGTCGGGTAAAAAAAGTTAAATATACGCGATAAATTCCGTAAAAATTAGTATTATTTCAATGTGTAGTGTTCGCGTAAATATAAGAAATCATTATGTAAACCAGTACGGACTGGTAATTGCAAATAAAATACGC